GCTGTGGGGGATTCCTCCCCGCTGCCCCAGCGGCTGGGGAGCTGCGGGGGATTCCCCCCAGCCACCCGTTGTGGCAGGAGGTACCCTGCAACTCCCGGGCCACCACAGGAGGTGGGAATACCCTGCAGCTCCCTGCAGCTGTGGGCTGAAGTCACGGAGATCTGCGGAAGTTACGGACTCCGCGACCTCTGTAACCAAATCGTAACCTTAATTATCAGTTGTGCTTCTTTAGTACACCTCAGTGTAAATGTTATTGCTGTTTAATACAATTAAGTATTTGTCAGTTAGGAGCATGCCTACATTTATATGACAGGTTTCAGAGGAACAGCCGTGTTAGTCTGTTTAAAAAAAAAAGAGTACTGGGCCTAAAAAAAATTACTTGGGTGAAGGAGGTGCACTCAAAAAAATTTTTGTTGGATCTTTTTACATTTATATGTCAGCTTACGGGAAAAAATGTTCAGCTTAACTTGGGAGTTTAGAAATATATTAACTTTCAGATCTGAGTGACACCAGGGGAAATTCTGTACAATAAACTCTCACTAAAATGGAGAAAAAAGATTTAAAAGTTTTAAAGATCTTAAAGCAACTATCTGTAATTCAGCATGAAAACATTAGAACAACATTTTGAAGACACCATGGCCAACATTTTCTAAAATAGTTGGGCTTCTAAAATCATATTTAGATACCCTACCAATTTTCAAAATTGCTGATCATCCAGCAGCTCCCAAGTTTCTCAGACAGGTGCGTACATTTGAATTTAGGAGCTTATCTTTAGACTCCTATTTTTGAAAATCTTGGCCCCTGAGCATAGCTCATGAGAGAGGCAAATACAGTTCCCATCATCATGACAAAAAATAAAATAAATATTAGGATATTCACTCTTTAATACAATTTTGTTAAGGTATTTGTCTGTGAAACCATTTCTCACCTAGTGCTTAAACACACTGGGATGTTATCTTGCAAACACATACACACCTTAATAACTTCACTCATGTGAGTTGTGATGGGACTACTTAAGTGAATAAAGTTATTCATGTGCTTGATTACTGGATTGGAGCCTGTCAGTATTGGAGCTGTGCTCAGAGAAGAGAGACAAATCAGTGTTATGTATAGTGCATATTTCATGGCAAGGTAATTAAAATACTTTACAGAAAGCAGAACTTGTAGAACTTGTCTGTCACTGCAGATACATCATATCTTTATAAAATCATAGAAATGTAGGGCCGGAAGGGACCTTGAGAAGTCTAGTCCAGCCCTCTGCTCTAAGGCAGGACCAAGTAAACTTAGACCATCCTTGACAGATGTTTGTCTAACGTATTCTTAAAACCCTCCAAGAATGGGGATTCCACAGCTTTCCTTGAAAGCCTATTCCAGTGCTTAATTATCCTTATAATTAGAAAGTTTTTCCTACTATGCAACCTAAATCTCCCTTACTGCAGATTAAGCCAATTACTTCTTGTCCTACATTCAGTGGACATGGAGAACAATTGATTACTGTCCTCTTTATAACAGCCCTTAATATATTTGAACAGTGTTATCAGGTCCCCCATCCGTCGTCTTTTCACAAGACTAAACATGCCCAGTTTTTTTTTAACTTTTCCTTATAGGTCAAATTTGCTAAATCTTTTACCATTTGTGTTGCTCTCTCCAATTTGTCCACATCTTTTCTAAGTGTGGTGCCCAGAAATGGACATAGTACTCCAGCTGAGGCTCACCAGTGCCGAGTAGAGTGGACAAGTACGTCCCGTGTCTTACATATGATGCTTATGTTAATACATCCCAGAATATTAGCTTTTTTTGCAGCTGTATCACATTGTCGACTTGTATTCAAGTCGTGATCCACTATAACCCCCAGATCCTTTTCAGCAGTACTACTGCCTAACCAGTTGTTGCTCATTTTGTAGTTGTGCATTTGATGATGATCTGATCATAAATTTAGTATTAGTATATAAGGATGACAACATATTACAAGGTGCTGCTGGGCATATAGATCTAAGCTTGAAGAAAAAATGGATTATTATTTTCTAGGGTTGTCAAGCGATTTAAAATTTTTTTATCATGATTAATCGTGCAATTAAAACAATTAATCACACTGTTAAACAATAATTGAATACCATTTATTTAAATATTTTTGGATGTTTTCTATATTTTCAAATATATTGATTTCAATTACAACACACAATAGAAAGTGTACAATGCTCACTTTATATTTATTTTTGATTACAAGTACTTGCACTGTGAAAAAACAAACAAAAGAAATAGTATTTCTCAATTCACCTAATACAAGTACTGTGGTGCAATCTCTTTATCATAAAAGTTGAACTTACAAATGTAGAATTATGTACAAAAAATAACTGCATTCAAAAATAAAACAATGTAAAGCTTTATAGCCTGCAAGTCTACTCAGTCTTACTTCTTGTTCAGCCAATTGCTCAGACAAACAAGTTTGTTTACATTTGCAGGAGATAATGCTGCCCGCTTCTTGTTTACAATGTCACCTGAAAATGAGAACAGGCATTCTCATGGCACTGTTCTAGCCGGCATCGCAAGATATTTATGTGCCAGATGTGCTAAAGATTCATATGTCCCTTCATGCTTCAACCACCGTTCCGGGGGACATGCGTCCATGTTGATGACGGGTTCTGCTCGATAACAATCCCAAAGCAGTGCGGACCAACGCATGTTCATTTTCATTACTTGAGTCAGATGCCACCAGCAGAAAGCTGATTTTCTTTTTTGGTGGTTCGGGTTCTGTAGTTTTCTCATCGGAGTGTTCCTCTTTTAAGAGTTTTGAAAGCATGCTCCACACCTCATCCTTCTCAGATTTTGGAAGGCACTTCAGATGCTTAAACCTTGGGTCAAGCGCTGTAGCTATCTTTAGAAATTTCACATTGGTATCTTCTTTCATTGCAAATCTGACAAAATGCCAGGTGTTCTTAAAACAAACAACGTGCTGGGTCATCATCTGAGACTGCTATAATATGAAATACATGGCAGAATGTGGGTAAAACAGAGCAGGAGACATACTGTTCTCCCCCAAGGAGTTCAATCACACATTTAATTAACGCATTATTTTTTTAACGAGCGTCATCAGCATGGAGGCATGTCCTCTGCAATGGTGGCTGAAACATGAAGGAGCATACGAATGTTTAGCATATCTGGCACATAAATACCTTGCAATGCCAGCTACAAAAGTGCCATGCAAACGCCTGTTTTCACTTTCAGGTGACATTGTAAATAGGAAGAGGGCAGCATTATCTCCTGTAAATGTAAACCAACTTGTTTGTCTTAGCGATTGGCTGAAGAAGAAGTAGGACTGAGTGGACTTGCAGGCTCTGACGTTTTACATTGTTTTGTTTTTGAGTGCAGTTACGTAACAAAAAAAAATCTATATTTGTAAGTTGCATTTTCATCACATTTTCATCACTACAGTACTTGTATGAGGTGAATTAAAAATACTTTCTTTTGTTTCTTTTACAGTGCAAATCTTTGTAATCAAGCATAATATACACTTTGATTTCAGTTACAACACAGAATACAATATATATGAAAATGTAGAAAAACATCCAAAATATTTAATAAATTTCAGTTGATATTCTATTGTTTAACAGTGTGATTAAAATTACGATTTAATCGCGATTAATTTTTTTGAGTTAATCACATGAGTTAACTGTGATTAATAGACAGCCCTATTATTTTCTTAATATATGCGGGTACATAATTAAAGGCTGTGTTGTAGTGTGTATACATGAGAGGTCAGAGCTAAGGTTGTGCACGATTTTTGCATTTCCTGGCTTGAGTGCTTCACTATGCAAACTTAATGATCTGTTAATGATGGGTTTTTTTGCATGGATTTTGTATCTTTTGTGTGGACAGTTCCTTTACACAATGATTTGTGCTCTTCTTATGCCAGTTTATGAACATGCATAGCTAATATGAAACCAGTTTTAAAACAACAAGCAAACCCAGAAAACCCCACATGCTCCAGGTGAATCCGCTTAGTGTAGGTTTTACAGATAACATGGGAAAGCTAACACTGTATCTGTGTTATAGGAAGTCTTGGTATCATTATCCCACTTGTGTTGTAGAGTCATGCCATGAGGCATTGCACTGCCTAGAATTGTTGCTGTCTAGAAAGGAATAGAGCATTCAGGTCAGAGTTTCTAGTTCACAGACATTATTTATAATGAAAGAAGTCTGAGAGAATACTGTATGCTCAGTGGTTCTCAACCAGGGGTACGTGTATCCCTGGAGGCATGCAGAGGTCTTCCAGGGAGTATATCAACTCATCTAGTTATTTGCCTAATTTTACAAAAGGTTACATAAAAAGCAGCAGTGAAGTTAGTACAAACTAAAATTTAACACAGTGACTTGTTTATACTGCTGTATATACTATACACTGAAATGTAAGTACAATATTTATATTCCAATTGGTTTATTTTATAATAAGGTGGTAAAAATGAGAAAGTAAGCAATTTTTCAGTAATAGTGTGCTGTGACACTTTTATATTTTTGTCTGATTTTGTAAGCAAGTAGTTTTTAAGTGAGGTGAAACTTGGGGTTATGCAAGACAAGTCAGACTCCAGAAAGGGGTACAGAAGTCCGGAAAGGTTGAGAGCCTCTGTGCAAGAGTAATCTCTGTCATACCAGTTAAATAGTGGGTTAATAGCTGCAGGCTCAGATACTGTAACATTCAGGAGATTTAGGATTGATTGATTACCCTGTAAAAAGACAGCAGCTCTGTGTTTCATGTTATGGTTAATTATATCACAGTTGATGACGTCATACTATGTGCGTGTATAACTGAGAAATGTGCCTATTAGATGAACACTAAGTGCTAGCCGGTTCCAGTTGCTTGTCCATGCCATTCATTTAAGCTGCAAAAAATGTAAAAGTATATAGTCACTCTTAATTTCATTGGGGGTTTGTTAGCTTCTGTATATCTAATCCTTACTTTTACAGACTTTTATTACATTAAAGGAGTATCATTACCTCATGATTCTTGCCCATAAACAGCACTTGACATTTAAAGAGATTTTCTGTTGTGCACTTGTATAGTCAAAGAGTAATACTAATCCTATTAAAGGTATTATGTCATGGAGGCATGCCTTGGGGGAAGGCTTGTTCTAATTGGCTAGATGTAAAGTAGAGGGGAGGGGCTATCAAGAGAGTGGATGTATTACTTGATAGTTAGGTCAGGGATTTCTGTGGGAAATGCCCAGTGGTTGCAGTTGCTGATGATTTCACATCAACAGCAGTGCAACACTGAGAGTGAGCTCCAATAGCTGATTACTGAATGAGATACTGCAAACGGGTAAAAAAAAAAAAACAGCAGCATGTGAGAAACAGTCAGAGAGAGGCAGAGAAGAGAGCTGAGAGAGCAAGAAAAGTGCTCAGGCTGGAGAAAGTCTTCCAGATGTACTGGACAACCCTTTTGGAAATGGATATAAGGACCATCTGCTGTCTATAGATCAGAGGACTGGGGACTAAGAGTGGGAAGAAAGAGTTTATGGCTGTTTTAAATAAAAAGCTAAGTTATTCATAACCAATTCGTCAAGACGTCATGAGATTGTTCCTGCATGGGATGCTGGTGCATAAATCAAAGCTGCAGATACCTATTGTACAGCTTACTTGGGTATAAAAAAGAAAGAGGAAAAAAAGCAGCAATGCAGGGAATATTGCAATAAATTCTACAATGGTTATGTGATTTGTTTATTAAGATAAAGAAAAATCATCCTTGTATGACTGTGGAGTTCACAAGGTACTGCGTTTAATGCTGAGAGATGCTAGTCATTAAATCTGACAACTGTGAAAAGAGAGATCATGGAGAAGTCAAGTAGTGAGGATTCTTCAATTCACCGTAGTCCATCTTTGGATAGCAAGGACTCGGACTTTGCTAAACCTTCTACCTCAGGCAGGCAGTTTGGTCGAGGTTTTACTGCTGGAGCTTTTTACGGCACTGCTGGATCACGCACACAGAGCCACACCAGGGCTGGAACAGGGACTGGCATTGGAACTGGGACTGGCATAAAAAGTGACAAATACAATGCACCCAAAGGCAGCAAATATGTGGTGTTTTACCTGGATCTATCCTTTGTTTTCCTTTTAGAATTTAAGAAGTGCAACATGGCAAGAGGCTGCCTGTGTTGTTTGAAATACATGATGTTCCTTTTCAATTTAATGTTTTGGGTGAGTACTGCCTTTTTTCATTTGCCTTCATTTGTTAGAGTTCTCTGTACTACTGCATTATGTGCATAGTGCATCTTTTCAGCACTATCGTAAGCTTTTTTTTCTTCCCCTCTCTTGTACCTGCATGGAATATTTACAGTGCTAAATCTGTGCCCTATGGGAAAATGTACATGTTTCCTACAAATTTTACCTTCCTATTACTGTACTTTGATTACAGATCATTAAAACTGGAGTCTTTTAATTCATGTCTTTTGACCAGGATAAATTAAAGAAGGGCAGGACCTATTTACCATTTAAAATGATCCAAATCAATTGAGTGAAATTTTTTATATTCTTTTATAATGCCTTGTACTGCTTTAAATTGCAGGTTAATAAACCCGAATTACGTTTTTGTTGTCCCCATCAATCTTCCCTACTTTTCTAACGTAATTGACAAACTGCTTTTCAGAGTGAATGAAGTTTAGTCTCTTTTTTTCCCACCTTTTAAAAATATACATATAATCTAGTCCTTAAGATGTCAGCACAAATGTAAAATGCCTGGAATGACAAATGACTCCTGATTCAGTTTCAGTCACAATTGTCCAAATTGGTGTGTTAAGTTGGAGACTAGCTCTTGCTTTTGAGGGATCAAAATTGATTTTCCTCTATCAGCCAGGGAGCATGAGGAGTTGTTACAATGCTTCAGCAAGCAGATTCAAAGTATAACGACTATTTTGAGCAAACTAATGTCACGTACACTTGGAAAACAAGAGTGAGAAGTCAGCTAGCTACTAGGCATCCCCGTTTGAACAATATTAGGGGGGGAAATGCAAGCAAATTGAAATGTCAAGTAGGTTTCAATAGAGCACAGTACAAAATTGTTTTATCAGAATTAAAGGTCAACAGTTTTCTGATGATTAGGAAAAGCAATTATAATATTAATGTCTTTCAATTCAAGGTTATAATTCAGAAATAAAAAAACGCATCTCAGAGGTAAATGAAAATGTAGTTTTGTTGGTTTATTTTTAAGGTAGAAGGATATTAAAAGTCCAATTTGGATAGATATTTCTGCTGTGGAGAAGTCAACATTGAAGTTAAGAGCCATGTCTCTGACTTAGCCACCGGCTTTTCTGTTTAGCTGACCCACTTACTGAAATAACTTTTAGCAGCCGAAGGGAATGGGAGACCTCATAGGGCACTGGACGACTCATGCACCAGTGAGCTTCAGTAGTAATGTACTGAAACATTTCCATCATGGAAGGTGTGGGAATCTGGCAGAGAATCTTCTGAGCAGGTTTAACAGAAGGTTGGGGCTGAAAGGGGTCACTCAGGAATATCACTCATGATTTTTCACTACATGAATCCTGCCTCACTTCTTTCTGGAATCCCTGTTAAGAAATAAACTTGTTACCAGACTGGGCCATTCATGCCAGTGCTGCATTACTCTGACTCCTTAGAAATATTTTCCTGTGCTAAATATTGCCATTAGTTTTTAGTAAATAGGACACTAGATGGGGAGGGTTTTGAGTTACTACAGAGAGTTCTTTCCCAGGTGTCTGGCTGGTGGGTCTTGCCCACATGCTCTGGATCTAACTGATCACCATATTTGGAGTTGGGAAAGAATTTTCCCCCAGGTCAGATTGGCAGAGACCCTGGTGGGTTTTTGCCTTCCTCTGCAATCTGTGACATGGGTCACTTGCAGGTTTAAACTAGTGTAAATCATGGAGACTCTGTAACGTGAAGTCTTTAAATCATGATTTGAGGACTTCAGTAACTCAGCCAGAGGTTAGGGGTCTGTTGCAGGACTGGGTGAATGAGGTTCTGTGGCCTGCAATGTGCAGGAGGTCACACTAGATGATCATGATGGTCCCTTCTGACCTTAAAGTCTATGAGTACATTACTCCTGGTCTTATTGCTCTTGTTCTGTGTGATCAGTCCTTAGGTATCCCTCCAAACTTCACGCAGTATAATGGTATTAAATCTCTATTTCATCTCCTTCCCAAGTAACATTTTTCTAGGTTGTCCATAGTTAGGTCTTAAATCTCTGTTGTTGTATCTTTTTAGTTGCTATACTTGCTATTTTTTCCCCAACTTTCCAGTGACCCTTCTTGTGTGGTGAACTTCATGAACTCACTCCATCCTGTTGTAGACCTTCTCTCTCTGCTCAACTTTCTGATTCCTTTTCTCATCCACCACTGGACTCTTTTCTGTCTCTCCATATAGTGTCATTATTGCTGGGGCCAAGACTTGGTCTGCAGTTCCTACTACCTGGGACAGCCTTCCTGTATCACTGTACCTCATCGACTCTCCCTCTCACCTGAACTCTTGCCTGAAAATCTTTCTTTTCTTCCTTGGTTTATACCATTTTTTCTTTTTCTTTTCTTATTAATCTTTGTCTCTGTATTCATCATGGTAACTCTGTCAATTGTTCTGAGATGCTCTTTGTCTGAGCCTGACTACACAGAATGTAAACATTGGTGTAGAATGATGAATCTGTGGGATTTTAGAGAAGTGCTGAATATAAACTAGCAGGTTTTCAAAGTTGTTTGCAACAGGAGTTGGCTCCATTTGCATTGTAGAAACTGTTCAAAAGTTCCCCCCTTTTACAGAAACATCTGTTGTGTTAAACTGAAGCTCTGAGACTCTTGCGTGTCCATATACTATTTTCAGTGGGCTGCAGTACCACTGAATGCTGCTGTTGAGTGCTGATTATTTTTAACCAGAACATTTCATCCTTTTGTGTTTTGCTGCACTCAGATGAAAGTTGTGTATATCTTCTAAAATTCTGGGTCAATTAGATAAAGTATCTGCCCGATTTTGATGCTGCACATTGGTCTTGATCTGACCTACCATGTTATGTTTCTTGGGTGCCATCCCAGCTTTGCCAATGTTCCTTAACACTGATCTTCAGCAACCACTGCTATTCCAGTCCTGCCACACAGCTCTGCCAATGCCCTTCAGTCCCGCCCGGCAGCCCGCTTGCTGTTTCAAGCTTCTTCTACCAGATCTATCAATGCACCTCCGTCCTGCCCTACAACACACCCTGCTACTACAGTTCAAAACTCTTGTCCCCCCATCTATGCCAGTACATTTAATTTTGGAACTATAACAGCCCCTGCTGCTGCAGTTATATGTCCCCACACAGCTCTGCCAATATACCTCAGTCTAAACCCATGAAGTTCTGGGCTTCTCATGAGCAGTGGGTGCCAACTTGTTCAAGACTGTTGTGGTGGCTTTGTGAAGTGGAGTGTTTTCCTCAAAGGGCTCATTTTAGACCACGAAACCAGTCTGATCCTGTAACTTAACCTAAAATGTGAATCCAAGTCTCCAGAAATGGAAGGTGAATGCCTTAAATCAATATCTTCTCTTCTGGCAAATGGAAGAGACAATATTTCATGAGTTTATTTGGATAAGTCTAAATTGAAACTGACAAATTATGTTTCAGGAAGCCTGCAATCATGTGGCAGTCTCCCCGCTGTCTGTTGAATTATCCTATTAATGAGTACTACAACATATAAATTTGTATGGCCTGCTGTTGTGGTTCTGCTGTGCAGAAAACCTGTTTGATTTTACTGTGTACTAAATGTTATCAACAAAATGCAGTAGAAAGGGGTTATTTAGAAGTCAGTGATACTTCATCCCTGTGTGTTTCGCAAGTGATATCTTTTGGAGGCTCTCATCCTACACACCATCTTCAAATGCTGGGTCCTTCTAGCTAGGGAGCGCTGGGTATTGTTCTGTTTTAAGTCCCATGAGTCCTGCTCTTAAACAGTCACCCAGAAAATGAGGACAGTGGTTCCTCTTTCGCCATTCACAGCCTGGCAATGAGGTGCCAAGCCTGAAACCTAGTTAATCTGAGATCACCCACCTGGCAGCCAGGTGTGCTGCCCCTAAACCACTGGCCTGGCTCAAAGGGTATCCATCTGAAGATGCTACAGATGCAATGGTTAGAATACAGTTTGCATTGTCACATACCTAAATGCACCATCTCTGTGTTGGCCTTGGTGAACAGGTGGTACATTGTTTCTGCAGATGATCATTTCAGTTGCCACATCAAGAATTGTGTTAAATGTATAGCATCTTAGTCATCTCTACCCTTGACAAGAAAATGCACTTCTTAATTTAGTACCAGGTGGACTAACTAGCCTATAATGTGGGATGCATCCTGCTCTATATGGGCATATCAGTAACTTGAAACCGAAGGTATTTTTCACTGTATTGCTAAGAACTTCAGGTATTTTCCATAGCCCTATGTGGTTCTTAGCATTTGTTCTCGGCCATCTGGCTTTGCTTTCTTTTGGAGATTAGAAAAGTCTGAGCTGAGGGTTAAGGAAGCTTATAGTATTTAATTGTGTGGCTAGGATGGTGATTTATACTGAATTCATCTTAAGTGCATAATATGTTTGACTAAAGGTCTGTGTACGTACGTATATTAGTTGATTCAATTTGCCTTCCAGAGCATTTATGTGCAAATGAATCAAGTTCGCAAAGTGGCCAATACAGGCTCATAGAAGAAATCAAATATTGATTTTTGTTTATACAGTTAGCAGCTTAATTAATAAGAGAGAAAACTGCTAAATATAAAGATCGGATATGGGTTAACACAAAATATTTCACTTCAGTGCATTACCCAGAAAGAGAGTGTTAGAACAACTGTTTATAGAACATACTGCAAAGTCTTTAGTAAGTTATTATGAATAGAACAGTAGACTTTCAAAAATTTTGACTTTTTTGACTTGAATTCAAAAATTTCACTTTTCTTATTTAAGCAAGGGAAATTTTGAAATGATAAGAATATTTGATCAGAGTTACAGTAGACAACTTTGCATATGCTGTTTGGTGCCTGGATAAATGTTAGGTTGCCCTATTAATTTAAGTAAGGGCAATTAGTCCCAAATGGTCCATATATTTTGGAATGTTCATAGTATAAATTTTGATAGATTTTAGCATAGCTTATTTGTTTAAATTTGCTAATGTGATGCATTTGTACTCTATGAACTTTTGGTGAGATAGAAAATCAT